ATATGAATTTAGAGAGTGATAATTAGCTCTTCTTGGTTTTGACTCAGAGTGATCACTTGCCTTGGAAAGCAAGGTTCATTATACAAGAAACATCAGTACTCCCCACCATCACCATGTGTTACTACGAGGTCTGCCCAATTCCCAGAATTGCTGTAAACTATGTACATATACAAGGAATTAACAATTTTACAAATGCTTCTTTTTTTTCTTAGTACCAACTTAGAACTGAAATGATCATTTCATGCTAAATAAACCAACTCAACGGAATTCAATCTAAATGCAATATTCATCCATATCAGATCAAATCATGCACAAAAAATAATTGCACCTGCATTTATATGCAAGCAAAGCAGACACAATTAACTATTCATGCTTCAGTTGAGTCTCAGCCAAACCTTAAATTATTCAAAACATGTCTAGGAGTCTCAGAGGGTAGCCTTGACTGATTTTAAGTTCAGAGTTGATAAAACTTTAATCCATTTAGATTTTTTAATCGAAAGAGCAATTTAAAAATAAATATCAGAATGAATGATAAGAATCAAAGATAACAGTCACTATCCCTGCTAGGCACAAACTTCCTCCAATAATCCATGCACAGACACATGACCTTAATTGCTTTCTGCAAAAGGGGGTCACTGTATTCTCCCCCTGACACAAATCTAATCAGACGGACTCATAGAGTCTACGATGTCAAGGTAAAATATTGCACTGCTTTAAGACAGGTAGGGTTTTGTCCTTGTCCCAGTTGTATTAGCCATGATTCCTCCACATGCATGATAACATAATACTAATCTAGCAGCACCTGAGCAGTAAAATACATTTCCCATAGAGCATCATAAATCATACACAAAGTTCAAACAATATGAGTATGGGTCAATTTGTATATTACCACTCACACATTGTGTGACGACATAGGGTGCCCTACTTTGTCTGTGCAACCAGACTAGTGTTGGTAAATTGCAAATATATTCCACTGCCTGTACTGATTTGTTACAAGTTGTAATGCCAGTTTAGATGAGATAATTGGGAAAATGCAACAACATGAAGAACATTAGCATATTAACAATATGATGTCATGCATGTTTCATTCTGTGAATGAGGGCAGTAGACAGTCAGACAAAAACAAACAGACTTGTGTCAGGAGGCACTAAGCAATTATATTTAGAATTAAGTTATATTAAACATAACATTTTTCCCAAAGATAAGCTTTAAAAATATCCGAATATCCACTAGTGTTTTCTGCAGTCAAAGTAAAATCACTTAAATCATACTTAAAAGGTTCAACTTAAACCAAGCCATAGACATAACTAAGCACATAAAACATTTTGCATAAACAAGACTATTTTTTTAGTCATTTAATAATGTAGAATACTTTATTTTTGCTATTTTCGCTGAAGGAATGATTCAGTGAAAATAAAATCCAGCGAATATACCTTTTTTCCTATATTTTACATTCAACTCGTCAAAAATCAGTGAAAATAAATTCCGTACGAAACACTCAAAAAGTCTTTTCAGCAAAAATTAATTCCAGCTAAAATAAAGTATTTTACAGTACATTATTTTGTACTACTATCCAATTTGTTCACATGTGAATATCATACATAAAATTAAACATGGTTTTATAACATAATATCCACTACAACAGGGTCACCCAGGTGGAATGCTCATATCAGCAGGCATCCCGGGTCTCACAGCAACACACATGATTAATGAGATACACGAGGTACATGTTCTAGTGTTAGATAAAGCAGATACTAGTACATACCTGCCAGTACAACTGAAATGATTAGGTGCAAACATGAAACAAAAATATCACGTGGCAAATAGCAAAAAAACTGCCACGTAATTATTTGGCGGTTTAGGTTTCTACCTTCTAAAAATTGATCACTAAATTGTGCTTTTTTACATCTTAGCTTTTTTTTAAGGCCAATGATTCAGCATTAATTTATTATATATGCCTTTAATGGAAAAAGTAGAAGAAAATAAAATATCACAGCTAGTTGATACAAAAATATTTTAACTTTTTATTTAAACACAAAATTCAGACTGTAAAAAAACTTAAGCAGTCTAAAAGGTTGCACAGCCTGGCTGCTACTGCTTTCTCACAATTTGGTCTCTTACACATGTTATAATTTAAACATAAAACGTGATATTTATGTGTGCCATTAAACCATAGGCAGCATGAAGTATTCATTCAATTTACTATATCTATTAAACCAGTTGGCATGACATCCAATATATTATTTAATTCCTTCATTGATTTATGCTTGGACATCGAAATCTTATTAAATGTACAGTATACTCAGGAGATTGTAGGAGTCAACTTATATGATAAATTATGACCATATAAGTCATGTCTGAATAATTTATTTTAGGATCATTGTAATACAAGAATAGATGGCTTCCTGTGTAGTAAAGGCAACCAGCATCAGGCTATAATGTTGTTTTTTGTCTCTAGATATTTTCCAGCTCTTTACAATGTCAAAGTTATGGCAAAAAAAACAAAACATTTTTATGACCTAAGAGTGCAGGAGGTTTTACGGATCTTCATATGTCACCATGCCTGGATATTCACATGTCACCATGCCTGGATATTCACATGTCACCGTGCCCGGATATTCACATGTCACCATGCCCGGATATTCACATGTCACCGTGCCTGGATATTCACATGTCACCGTGCCTGGATATTAACATGTCACCATGCCCGTATATTCACATGTCACCGTGCCTGGATATTAACATGTCACCATCCCTGCCTGGATATTCACATGTCATCGTGCCTGGATATTCACATGTAACCATCCCTGCCCAGATATTCATATGTCACCGTGCCTGGATATTCACATGTCACCATCCCTGCCCAGATATTCATATGTCACCGTGCCTGGATATTCACATGTCACCATGCCTGAATATTCACATGTCACCGTGCCTGGATATTCACATGTCACCATGCCTGCCTGGATATTCACATGTCACCATCCCTGCCCAGATATTCACATGTCACCATGCCTGCCTGGATATTCACATGTCACCGTGTCTGCCCAGATATTCACATGTCACCATGCCTGGATATCCGGATATTCATATGTCACCATGCCTGCATATTCACATGTCACCATACCTGGATATTCACATGTCACCATGCCTCGCTGCATATTCACATGCCACCATGCCTGCATATTCACATGTCACCATATCTGAATATTCACATGTCACCATACCTGGATATTCCCATGTCACCATGCCTGGCGGGGTATTGATGTGTCACCATGCCTCGCTGCATATTCACATGCCACCATGCCTCGCTGCATATTCACATGTCACAATATCTGAATATTCACATGTCACCATACCTGGATATTCCCATGTCACCATACCTGGATATTCCCATGTCACCATACCTGAATATTCACATGTCACCATGCCTGGCTGCATATTCACATGTCACCATACCTGGATATTCCCATGTCACCATACCTGGATATTCCCATGTCACCATACCTGAATGTTCACATGTCACCATGCCTGGCTGCATATTCACATGTAACCATACCTGGATATTCCCATGTCACCATACCTGCATATTCACATGTCACCATACCTGGATATTCACATGTCACCATACCTGGATATTCACATGTCACCATACCTGGATATTCACATGTCACCATACCTCGCTGCATATTCACATGCCACCATGCCTCGCTGCATATTCACATGTCACAATATCTGGATATTCCCATGTCACCATACCTGGATATTCCCATGTCACCATACCTGGATATTCCCATGTCACCATACCTGGATATTCCCATGTCACCATGCCTGGCTGCATATTCACATGTCACCATACCTGGATATTCCCATGTCACCATACCTGGATATTCCCATGTCACCATACCTGCATATTCCCATGTCACCATACCTGCATATTCCCATGTCACCATACCTGCATATTCCCATGTCACCATACCTGGATATTCCCATGTCACCATACCTGAATATTCACATGTCATCATGCCTGGCTGCATATTCACATGTCACCATACCTGGATATTCCCATGTCACCATACCTGCATATTCCCATGTCACCATACCTGGATATTCCCATGTCACCATGCCTGGCGGGGTATTGATGTGTCACCATGCCTGGCTGCATATTCACATGCCACCATATCTGAATATTCCCATGTCACCATACCTGCATATTCACATGTCACCATGCCTGGCTGCATATTCACATGCCACCATATCTGAATATTCCCATGTCACCATACCTGTATATTCACATGTCACCATGCCTGCATATTCACATGTCACCATGCCTGGCTGCATATTCACATGCCACCATATCTGAATATTCCCATGTCACCATACCTGCATATTCACATGTCACCATGCCTGGCTGCATATTCACATGCCACCATATCTGAATATTCACATGTCACCATACCTGCATATTCACATGTCACCATACCTGGCTGCATATTCACATGTCACTATATTCCTTAATATTTGCCCATACTCATATGCATGCACAAAAAGTAATTTGTACGTCACGTTTCATTTAACATCACTGAATTAAAAACTTGCAAAACAACAATTCAATAACATTCTGTATTTGAAATGTAGATGAGACATATTTTTTACAGGACTTACTTCAGAAGAGATGATGTTGTCTCAGTAGCCCTATTGGCCTTTAATTATTCGAGTCATTCAATATTTAAATCGCAAGACATTTATATTGAATAATAAATGACTTTGTAAACGCTAATTAGTATGGCAAAAAAATCATTTTCTTTTTAATTTTAGATGCAAATTGGTGTAAAAACAAAGAGGAAGTAAATGACTAGAAATATTGATGGTACACACCAGACTGTATTAATAATTTATGTATTTAGGGCATCTGACTGAGTTGTTGAACTCCCTTGCAGTGACCTAGTTACACCTTCACTCACTCAGCTCAATCTGTAGATCAATACAGAACTACTCACCAAAGCTGGCCACAGGATTGTATTACCAGGTCTAGAATTGAATGGATCACATCTTTGGCCCCATACTAGAGCTTTTTCTACCACAAACACTTGGTAGGCACTATCATGAGGTCGTAACCACTCTCTTCTTTCCCAGTCCTGCCCATCAAACTCCACATAAACCTGAAAGATTACAATACAGTACATTAGATTTGCATGTTAAAATAGATTGAACCAAATTGACATATTAAATGTTTTATTTTCCATATTTGTCATAATTACATGTAAAGATCTAAACCATAAATACATTTCTCCCATAATGCATTTTAAATATGTTGCACAGTAATATAGCTAGGGCCTATATTTTAAGAGTAAAAATATAAAACATTAAGTAGTCTGCTTATATGTGCTACATACATGTATCTGGCACAACTACCAGTAATACTAACAACAATACTAACAACAATCAACGTGTCACAGCTTTTAAAATCAATTTTAAAATCAATTTTAAAATCAAAACAGGCATACCATGAACAGATAAACTGCAAACTCCCATGGATTATGTCAATTTACAAAGAGTTAAATAAGGAAGATAACACATTAGATATAAAGAATATCAATGACAAATTGAATGCAACAAAACAAAATATAAAGAGAATAGGAAACAATATTAAACAAAAATATATTGAATTCTGGAAGGAGACAATTATGGATAAACCTAAGTTGAGAACATATACTCAATTCAAAACAAACTACAACTTTGAAAGTTACTTAATTATACTGAATCTAAAACATAGAATTTCTGTCTCTAGATTCCGAACAAGTAATCACAGCCTAGCAATAGAAAAGGGTAGACATACCCAACCTAAAATTTCTTTGGAAAACAGGATTTGTAAACAATGTACTTTAGCAGACATAGAAGATGAAATGCATCTCCTCATCAAATGCCCAAAATATCACACACTGCGAATGGATATATTCTCAAATATACAGTTTCCTGATGAAACAAAAACTGACCAACAGAAATTTACATACTTAATGAAAAATTCTAACACAAATGTAATCAAACTTGTTGGAG